GTGTGTGTGTGTGTGTGTGTGTGTGTGTGTGTGTGTGTGTGTGTGTGGGGAAGAGGTGTGTGCGCGTGCGTATTTACATGTGTCCGACCTTTGTTCCATTTGCTTCTCACCACACTTCAGTCTCGCTGACCCCACATCCTGTTGTAGCCTTGGGCATTTTAGTGTTTTCACACGCCGGTGCAAAAACAGCAGCATTTATAGCAACCTCCAGTATTTGCCGCCAGCGTCTCAGTTACTGGAAATCCTGGGATTGAGTGGGTTTACTGTAATAGCACACCTGCCACAAACACACTCAAACACACACACATTGAAAAAAAGAGCAACAACAGGGTGAAAAACAAGTTTATGACAACATTTTGCCATCCACAAACCCTTGTAGCACTGGCCCGGGGCCAGACCACAGCATTCTGACGTACAGTATGAAGCCGTCTGTTGTCTCTCACCCATGTTACTCACCGCCCACTCTGGCTCCTTGATTGGAAGAATCGGGGGAACAGGCAACTCCTCCTGAGGGCACCCACCTGTGGCGCATCAACCTTGAGGGGAAGGGGCGGGACTTTAACCCAACCCTGATGAGTCAGGCATTAGTGGTGCGGCCAGTGTCAAGCTGGGACATCTATGGGTTTTGGCTGCTTGCATGATTTGCAAATTTGGAGACACTTCAAATCTGACTGAATGTCTACTGTAGGTAAAATAGCTAGAGTGCTTTTTGGAATGATGAGGCAATTGCAAACTCTATGCTCAGTCTGGCAGGGGCTCCTATGCTCCATTCATTCCGGCAATAACTGCATTTTGTTGACCTTCACAAGAGCAAAATATATAATCCTCAGCAGACACTACCGAAACCTCTTGTTTGTGTATTTTTGCACATTTTCCAGTGATAAATAAATAGCTTAACCAGGAAATGGTTCGATCCTGAGGGGTTATCTTCACATTTTGACATCTCCCTTTACTCCTTGGTTTCCAGCGTAGAACGCTCACACTGGTAAATAAAACACTTTCAAAGTTTGAAGGATGCATTTTCAAAACTTTTATCTGCAGAGTGAAGAGACTGTGGATAAAAATTCCAAGCATAGCATTTCTTTGGAGAGGACTCCAAAGGTTCTTTTGAATGTGAAAGTGTACCTGTGCCTGTTTTATTTTTCCCCTCAGCCAGGCACCAAGGCTACCTAAAGCCGGGGAAACCATCCATGGTCACAAGTTCTTCATAGGCTTTGGAGGGAAAGGTGCCAACCAGTGTATACAGGCGGCAAGACTGGGGGCCAAAACCGCCATGGTCTGCAAGGTAGGACACTGGATCCAGGTTGGAAGCTTCTGTGCAGTAGAGTCTGTGTTATAGTGGGTGTTTAGTTTGGATCAGAGCATGAATCTGTGCATTTCAGTTAAAAAAAGACTTACCTTTGCTTGCCCAACCTTTGGCTCAACTACGTCTTACTCGTTAACAACTCCCAAAAACCTTATAGCTTCGTTCACACTTCAGTCATTTCACCACATCAACTCTCCATGCCTCATTTTCTCTTGATCAATACTATACCGCATGCATACGCCCACCCACACTTGCGCGCCTTCAAACAAGCCTATTCCCATACCATACAACCCTGAGTCTCCAATCAGTAGGCTCAGTGTGGCCTTTCAACCTGAGCACTAAAGCACCGAAGCCCCACCTCTGTCAGAACAAAGAGGCCCAATCGATAACAACCCAGTGCGGGAGGAGCTCTCCGGGCATGGGGAGAACCCAAAAATAGACACCCGGGCTTGTCAAAAAACATCCAAGACGGAAGGCCACTCTTCAAAGAGAATGAGGCCAAGCAGCCAATACCAGCCCAACCCATTATCACAGGCAGCTAGAAGTGCCCGCGTTTTGGCACGTTTTTTGGAGAGCGTGGGTTCGAAGTAGATGCCTCGGGGCAAGGTGGGGACCCCTTCCACAACCCAAAGTAGCTACAGATGTGGACATCCCTATGCGGATCAGTGGAAGAGGGGAAGGAGGGAAAGGAAACGAAAGCGAGGTGGGTATGAAGAGGCGTGAAGGCGGGGTTATCGTGTCTTCAAGGCTTGGCGCAGCTGGTCGTGTGTGTTTGCGCGTGTATGCGTTTGTTGACTTTGTGTTGGTTTTTGTACATTTTCGGCGGCGGCACCATGCCAGTATGCTGGCAGGGCACACAAAGATCCAACCCAACTGAGGTTTGACTATACCACTTTTCAAAAAGTTGCCGCTAACCAAGTCTGACCCCGCTTGACACTCTCTTTGTTGTAATCGTTTTGCCTTCAATCTTTTCTAGGTTGGTAAAGACTTCTTTGGAGAAAATTACATTCAGAATTTCAAAGACAATGGCGTACACACAGGTACAGTTGTTTTTTGGTTGCCATTTCCATGTTGAATGATAAAAAGTTCACATACAGAGCAATGATTTTTATTTATTTTTTTAGTCTATATTTTGTCAGTTCTTTTAGTTACTCGAGGCTCAAGGCCGGAAAGTTTCTCTATTGTTATGGCCAACGGCGAAACATGGATTTGTTTAAAAATAAAGTTGCTTTTCCAAAAGCACAAATCAGACTCCAAACATCTGTGGCCTGTCCCTTCACAGCCGAGAAACCGTGTCGTGAGCCAAATGCACTCCAAGCAATTAGTAGCGGTTAGTTACTATGGTGACATTTTGTTTTTCAGATGTGTTTTCGATGAAAGACCAATCACGGGTGCTTTTGGTTTTCTCTCTCCGTCTCAGACTTTGTAGGCCAGACCTCTGACGCAGCCACAGGAGCTGCCTCCATCATTGTCAACGATGCAGGTAAATGCTTCTGCCCCGAACCCCCCTCAGATCCTAAAAGCTCTTTTGAGGTGTAGAAATGGCCATCATACATGCACAACCAAGGGTGCATGTGTGCTAGCGGCGCACTTTTTCTCACTACTGCACACACATGTACGCCCATGCATTCTGCCGTTGACTCACCGCTGTTCAAGTGACTATAATCACTGGATACACACACACAAATACTTAAGTGCACCAAACCACGCTGAGTATCGACAGGTTCCAATGTGCGACAATCCAAGGCTTTCCACCTGGCAGAGCAATTTCTGTCATGTAACAAATACAGTCAGGTGATGTAAAACACCCACGACGTATGGACCCCCTTTTGGATCTGGATCCCTTTTTCTACCGTTTAACATCCTCACACATCATTATGTAGTTCAGTGTTTGAATTCAATGTTTTGAAAGAGGACTGTCAAGTTAAGAAATAAGTTAAGTTAGGAAATAATCAACCATAACAAAATGTGCACATGCCATTTTGCATTAGTGTGAAAAGGTCAGTTAATTGAAACGCTTAAAACATTTTCTAAAGTGACAGAGGAAAAGCCCAAGAAGAAAACCAAACCAATTCATATCAAAAAATTAGGGTTTATGTGTTTACAAGTGGGTTTATTTGATTTTCTACTATATGCTTAGTTTAGCATGAAAGTTTTGATGGAAGCTTGACTTCTGACGTCCTGTTTGACATGATGGGCAGGCGAGAATGCCATCGTGATCGTGGCTGGTGCCAACATGCTGCTGGGCGGAGAGGAGCTGTGGGGAGCTCTTCCGGCCGTCAGTTGTGCAAAAGTTCTGGTGTGCCAGCTGGAGATCAGCCCGCAGACGTCCCTGCAGGCGCTACGCATGGCGCAGGAGAACAAAGGTCAGTGAGTGTCAACGCCGCGGTGAGGCCACACATATACTCCCCTGAGGTCGAAGAAAAGAAGTTTGAAAAAGTATTATAACGCCAACCTTATAGGATACTGAACAAGTGGTTCCGTTTGTGTTCCATTAACTATTTTTCATTTGTTTCGATTGTTTTCACCAACTGAGGTTGCTGTGGTCTTCCATGGCTCCTTTGTTTGACCATTGAAGTTAGAGGTAACATTTAGATACAAAAGATTTTTTTACATTTGGATCATCTTAAAGTGCCAACCAAAGTCTTTCTTTTGAAACACTCACCCCATGTTTGCGTGATAGGGACTATACAATGTTTGCTTCTACGTCGTTGCAATGAATCGTAGCAGCGACTGAGGAAGAAAATGTGTACAAAAAAAGTATCTAAATGTCCCTAGAAACTTCTCTAACGACTTCCGCATTTTTAATCCACCTCTCTGCCGGCCATCTGTGTGCTCAATATGTCCCAAACATTCACAAGTTTATCCTCAATATGACTATATGCATATTACTTCCCTTTTAATCCTCATGCACGACCCCGTTGAGCCTGCTCCTCTCTGGCCAAACGTACTCATCAGCTAGCTTGACACTGCACATTCTATTAACACTATAGCCTCACTTGGTCCGGTCTGAGTGGTAGCTGATGGTGGTTAATGTCAGACGCAAAGAACATTTTCAAAATCGTTCAATCACAAAAAAGTAAAAACAAACAATAACAGCATCGCACCTCACCAGGATGCATGTTTGCTACTTCCTGCTCGTGGTCCCATTCTTATCGCTCTCCGCGGTTGCATAAAGGCGTTGATGCGCTTCAACCGAAGGGCTCGCTCGATTGTCAAACACGCTCTCGATAATCTGGGTTTTTCTTTCTGAAACAGATAAATCGGCCAGCACGCACACTTCTCGCAACAGTTTTGTGAAGATGAGATGGTAACGTCTCCCTTGAGGTCTATTTTTTTACTTCACAAACCTACTTTCTACACTTTGTTGCATATACGACCAAGCAGCAGAGCACAATCGCCTTGAAAGGTACAGTAGAGGACCAGAAGATCCGTCTAAATCAGTCATGTGACTTTTCTGTTTGTATGCCCCATTGTCCTTCAGAGAGAGTTTGTTGTGTCCCTGTTTTCTCACATCCTACATTAACCACCACGTCTGCACGCACGTTACTAAAAGCTAACAGGATACAAGGCCTATTTTAGACCGCCATCCTCCCTCGGCCCCTTCCTCCCGCCACCTTTTTGGTGATAACCAGGTTACTGAGCTCATCATCTCCAGCAGCATCCTTATTATTAGCGGGCGTCCGCGTCATTCGAGACGTCTGGGGAGCCTCTCGCCTCTTGTCATCAGGGCCTGTCGCCTGGTAATCGCTCGCTGCAGACTGCCAGAACTGAAAGAGTCGCAGCCATAACCGTGTTGCAGATGGGACGCCCAGATGGCCACGCCGAGACCCCCCCCCCCCATCCGTCACTGCGTCGACCGCACTGTGGGATTCAGGCTCTGCATGTGGCACCAGGAGAGAGAGAGAGAAAGAGAGGCGAGGCGGGTGAAGACGCCGCCTCGACGCTGCCGCACCAGATTATTGCGTAAATGGAGTCCTCCGGAGAGAACTGGGTGTTAATGGGTTTGGCGGCGGCGATATAATTTTAATGGCGCGGGGGTGAAGCGCCGTTCGAATTACGCAAATGTCACCATCGAGCCACACGCACCGCGGATGCCAGCTCTCAGAAAAACCTCACAGGATGAGTTTATTCTCCCTTACGTGTAATTCTTTGAGAGGAAAACACATGTATATACTGTATTGATTGCCATCTACTGCTTAATATTGAGGAGTTATTGCAATTCAATTAATACTAATAACTGAGGAAATGGTAGGGGTTGTGTAGTTCCACTCTTTCTTTCTTCTTCCGCCTTCAACCCGTCTTCCTCCCCCTCTTCCTTGTCTGAGCAAGAAGCCGCTTTTATATTTCTCACCAGATGCAATTAGAGCCTCTTAAAGCCCTTTCACATACTCACTGATGACTCATTTTTGTGTGTGTGTGTGTGTGTGCGAGCATGCAAGAGTGTGTGTGATCTCCTTGTTTTCCCCACCTGCCCTTGTTTTCCATCCACCTTTCCTCCTAAATCGACCACAGCAAACAAAAACTGCAGTCATTTTGTACTTTCTGAACTGTTCTGGCTGCTTCTTCCAGCACATGCGCGACCAGACTTTGAACCTCTGTGCAAATAAAAACAAAAAAAGTCATGACACATGCACACACATTCTCCTGCCAAACGTGACTCAGTGTGCATACATCCCAGTATTACCACATCTGTCCCAGCAGCTGTGAGAGTGTGTGTGTGTGTGTGTGTGTGTGTGTGTGTGTGTGTGTGTGTGTGCGGTTTCACTAACACCTGGAGAGCAAATAAAAGAAAGCAACCCGATCACGACGCGCCGGTTACCGTGCCGTCCACAGCAGCAGCTCCTTTGCGTCGGAGAGGCAGATTCCTTCATGCGTCGGGGCCTATGCATTTGACATCAGTGCCGGGATCACGCCGCAGGATGAGGGAGCAGGTAGTGGAAGGCATGCTCCGTGCTTCCTACCGGTTCTCTCCACAGCTACAAATAATAATACGATCGTCGACGATAGACAGAGTAAAGCTTGAGTAAGCCTTTTAGATGATTCAGGGATACTGTCTTTATCCTGTTTACACGGTATACAGCGTGTGGTTAGTGCTTCGCTAACTGACTGATCGGTGTCTGTTAATGCCACCGAAGTACTCCACATATATTGTGAAAGTTATCCCAGTAGCTGTACAAATCAGGCTTACATATTCAGCATCATGTGTTTCGATATGCAGGCGAGCATCTCGGAAAAAGGAGGGGAAAAACTGCTGATTGGGGGAAGAGAGGGAATGAGTTGTAAGATGGGGAGGGATATTAGTTAACATGTAAATAAACAGGCTTGTCCACAAACAAAGCACCAAATGTGTGCTAATACGCAGCTGAAACTAGCAACAACAAAACAACAAAAGCACTTTTTCCAAAAACTACAGCGCCTCGCTGTTCAAGGAAATAACCGAGCCCTTTTCAAAAAAATTAAACTGGCGATAGAAGGTTGAGTGTATCAGTCCTCAATTGGCAGAATGAGGTGGCGAGTTCACGAAAGGATTGTGCGCTCTTGGAGCCCAATGAACCTGCAGAAATTTGACAAAAAGAAACCGTGGAAGTCTCAAAGCACCCGCAGAGGGTAAAACACACCCCGACTGCAATGCGAACAGCATCTCACTGCTCCTGTGCTATTTGCACATATTTTAATTGGCTAATATGCAGACATTTGGGGCAAATTTGGTCTCTTTCTATGCAAAAAAGCAGCGCTAATAGCCTAGCCTAGTCTTCAGAGAGTTGGAGGTATCTGAAGGGCATTCATACGGGCTGTCACGCCCAGACATTCCAGTGATCATGGCAGCAGTGATTGTAGACAGACAAAGGCATCTGCTGCAGCAGTGGCATGAAAAATAAACAATTTATCATGCAAATTGTACTCAGCTGAAAAACTTTAAAAGGCGTTTGCATTGTAATGTCATTAGTGTAGTGTCTTTTGTGAATTTTTGAGACGGGGCAGATAGCGGTTGCAAGTGATGCACAGTTCCTGGTGCTGTCAGCGGCCGCGATCCATTCTTTGCGAATTTGCAACGGGTTTGGAACTGAGTGGCACAGACAGGGTAAGGTAGTTGGAAAGTATTGAGAAACGGACTGAGGTTTTGTTTTGGTGTTTTCATGGCTTTTGTTGGTGATAAGAACAAACTAGAATAACGACAGCCTTATTCTTACTAAGGATCCCTGGACGGCATTTGTGATGGAAGAGGAGGATATGAGGAACAGATACAGAGGGCCGCAAACAGGCGAGGGGGCCAGACAGAGATCCCATTCCTTTTATGCAAAAAACGGAGGCGTCACATTTCAGAGATCTCGCACTTGCCTTGGAAACCAAAGTGATGGGAACTGAGGTGCAATTCGGTTGACAGAGAGAGAGAGAGAGAGAGAGAGAGAGCAGGGAGAAGAAGAAGAGTAAGGAAGAACATAGCATCACTTTTTTTTGTGACACGGTCTTGGCTCATGTAGGGTACTCATACAGTACATATATGTGTGTGTGTGTGTGTTGAAAAAGACAGAGAGAGAGAGACGTTATATCCACTTTTACTAGCGAGCACCCCAGCATCCACCTCAAAGCGCCAGGTGGCCAAAGCCCTGCACAAACCCACGCAGCTGCTCTCTCATGTGCCCACGCAAACACACACATACACACACACAAGCACACACAGCAACTAGGCGCACACTTTTGCACAACAGACTTTGATGTCACCAACGATGAACATATATTTTCCTAACACACACACTCACACGCACACACTTGCATGAGGCTTTATTTTGTACACAGAGATATGAGAATTAATCGCTTCGTCAAGCTGGGCTTATCCTCACACATACACAGAAATCATGGTATTAGATGCATTAATGCTCCCTGCTCATGAATATGCATGAGACAGTGATGTGCAACACGTACGGAGGATTACTTCTGACAACCACTCTTTTGCACTCTCTCGCTCTCACCCTCTCTGGCATGCCTCGGCGCAAAGAGAAAGGGTCACAACTCAGCTCACCCACACACTGACACGCACATGTGTAGGGTTATGCGCCTCATATTGACACACGCCGCCCCATAACTGCAGGATGTGAGGTCGTTTCCACCAGGGTTTTAATATGTTTTTCCTCTGGCCTTCTTTTCCAGGGAATGCTAATTTAATCGTTTAAAAGGTGTCCTTTTATAGAAGCTCATCCACTTGAGCTTTGCCTGCGAGAGCAATTCCCAGTGGTAGCCTCCTAGCCTTTGTTCACGTTGAAAGTTTAATTAAGGTAATGTCAGACCTTGACAGTGAAGCTTAGCAAATGGAAACGAAACATCAGACAATTAGAAAAATGTGTCACCGAGGCACATTGTCACAATTGTAGCCCTTTTAAATGCGAGCTGGCAATTGTAACTGAGAACAATTGTATTTTTTAAACGCCTGTTAAGGATCGCACATCGTCCTGAGCGACCTGTGCATGATAATATTTCGCATTTCAGTCAATGAAATGAATTGCTTCCCGATTTCTTGTTGCAGTGAAGACAATATTCAACCCAGCACCGGCCATTGCAGACTTGGATGCAGATTTCTACAGAGCCTCTGATGTGTTTTGCTGTAATGAGTCTGAGGTGATGAATCTCACACACACACACACGCACACACACCTCACAGTATTTATCACAGCAGCATTTATGCTTGCTCACACAATAACTCTTCATTCTCACACACGTATACACTCGCAACAATAACAAGGTAGCAAAGAGGAAACTGAAACCACTCCTACACAGCAAAGTTGTTTGTACTGAATTGACCAGCTTTCTGTTCTTGCGTTGTTCACATGCAGTTTACAGTGATATAATGTGGTAGATTTACCAACACAATTCCTATCGTTCTCATTTTCACATTGAGGTAAACAAAAACGGGCTTCGCGTTTTTAGCTAGCGGCCATCGATGCTTTCTGAATTAGCTGATTGTCTATGGCTGACTTTTTAATGCTTCCTGCGGACCCATTTTAAAGTGACATATCTGAAAACAGGAGTCTTGAATATGCACTTGATAGCTACATTTATTATATTGTCCTAAAGGACTGAAGCTAACCCTGAATGTCTCAGGCAAAAAGTCTGCAGTCAGATTTATGTAGAAAATGTGGAAATGAAGAAACAGCATTGTTTTTGCATTGCAGTTTAAAGGTAGTTAGTGCTAGTATTATGACCAGGCGGCAAACTCTGCTTCTTAAAAGTGAAGTGCCTTAAACTTGCATTCTTTGTAATGGCCATCAAGGGGCTTGCGAAGAGAAGTCAGATTATATAGAAGTCTATGAGAAAATGACCCTACTTCTCACTTTATATTTCTCCTTAGTACACATTGTAAACATGAGTTTATGGTCTCAATCGCAAGTTCCACCAGAGCCGTATTCAGCGTCACTACGTCACTCCGCAGTCCAAATAGGGTCTTCTCCATTCACTGGTTGCAAAAAAATAAGACGGTGACAGCCAAAATCCAAAATGCCTAACTGGAGGCTTTAAAAACGACAGTCCACAAACTAATGGGTGACGTCGCGATGACTACACTGATGATTCTTATATACAGTCTATGATTATGGCAAGAAAAAAAACGGCATTCTGACAACCCCTTTTGGCTACTTATCTTATTTGAATGTGATTTCAAGCAGTTTCACTTGTATCATGACAAGAGAAAAGGCTTTTAGGATGAGGACTGTGTTTCTGGGAAACCCATTTTGAGTAATGTTTGCTGGAGTTACTAGAGCGCAAACTTTCCCAAATCGATAAAAAGCAGGACAGAGCAGCTAATGTTAGCTTAACCTTTGATAGCATTCAAGAGCAGCTTCCACACAGTAAGGTAATGCTACACAGTGGATGTGCTGGTCATGAACATAACATTTAACCTATGACCCCACAACCTAACGTAGTTCTGTGCTCCTTGGCCCTGAAAGTAAATCTTGGAGACTACTGTAGGTAGTAAGCTAGTCAACCGGGCATGCTAACTTTTGCAGCCTACCATAGAGCAGGTGAACACACCTTTTAATCCACCACTTACACATTGCGCTGGTTGTTTTGCGGTGAGGCTTAAAAAAAAGACACAACCTATGTCTTAGCGAATGGTCAACTTAAGTCATGATTGTTAAATCGACACAAGCTGCTATTTGACTGTTTTCAACACTGGTTGAACAGTAACATTGGAAGACTTATCATGCAGCAAGAAATATTTCTTCTCATCTTCGCTATGAAATGAAAATATCAGTAAGTGTGAGATGTTACTGCGCACCATACACACACGTTTTCACAGCGATTCAACTCTATGCCCTGGGTCATGACCCCTGCCAGCACATCAATAGCCCCGCTGTAGCCTTTAGCATACATGTAAACCCTCTGGTATGACGAGGGAACTAAGCATCGCTCCGCCTTTTTACGGTAAAAACTTGGTGTCATGGCACCTTATGTCTCGACTGTCAGGTGATGACAGGTGAGGTCGGGGGGCAGGGTTAGATGGGAATTGTAGGAAAAAAAACAACAAGGCAGATGTGCTCTTTGGCTGAGTCAGCCGCCCCCTCGGGGATAAAGTGGATGTGAGTTCGCCCGGGAGTCTGTATTTGATGTGGTGATGCAGAGTGGAGAAAAGCTGTAGCCAGGTGTGGGGACATGAAAGGGAGAGTTGACGAAAGCACAGGTCATGAAGGTACAGTCATGTTATGCGTGAGGCCCTATGCAGGGGTGGAAAGGTCACTAAAATATCAAGCTCAGGGACGAGGTAAATGCTGATTAGTATATACTGTGTATATATACAGTATATATATAGAAAATGACTGTAATGACAGCACACTCTTTCCACCTATGCCTACACTCACCATGTCTACAGCTTTCTACTGCATATGCTTTGTGCAGTATGTGTGTGAGATAAGCACACACATACACACGCATGGACAGCGAGAGAGACATAACTCAACTTTCTCATATTCTTGTACACAGAGGGAGGTAGATTGATTCCCTGCCCTGGTGAGAAGCTGATGACTAACAAAACGGTTGTTTTTTCTCTCTTGGCATCCGACAACACCGGGGTGCGCTGCGGGCTCTTCGTGCACTCTGCGGTTTATTTTTGAACTGTCCAAGGTCATTGTTCACTTTGACAGATCACCAAAGCAAGGGGGGGGGGGGGGGGG